ACATGAATGATAAAAATATACAGCATATATAATTCTAAGATTATTTACAATGTAAAATTACTCACGGTTCTCTTCAGAGTTACAGGTGTTGGCACATAATCTAATTGTTATATCTTGATCTGTGAATCAAAATACCATTTTCTGCAATCTGTAAAAATTATTAAAATTTTCATCAATTTTTAGAGATTCAGTAAAAAGAATTTGTAAATCTGCAAGTTTTACTTTCATTTTAAAAATGTACTATAACACAATTAATAAAATATCAAAGACAATTTTAACATTTAGGGGACACAACGATGGGCCTTATCGCTATTTGGGAATCAGCGACACTTGACCTGATGGTTTGCAACACTTGAACTATTGACGTCACAAAAAAAAATCACGTTTGCGTTGTGGCGTCACAGATATTTTCTATTAATACGTCAAATTTTACTGGAACGTCTGTAAAGTTCAGTAATTACGGACAGATACCGATTGAAAGTAAGTAGTTGTGTCAACACAGTATTTCTGATTGCGAATTGTTCTGTTTTATTGTACTTTAGTTAAACTAAGTATGATCTTTTTGCTGCATTTAAGCACACTAAACAAAAATGACGTTCATCCGAAGTACAGTTTCCTACAGAATAGACGCATGTACACATGTATGCAAATTTGTTCGCCATTACATAAAATCACACAAGTTCCCGTAAAATTTGACATCACTATTTAAAAAAATTGACGTCACAATTAAAAAAAGTGAGTGTTGCTTGACGTCATAAGGTTATTCGGAGCAGATCTAAGGTCATTCGGAGACAAAATTCAGCTAGATACCGAAAGTGTAAATACTTTTATAAATTAAGTATGTTTAGCCGTGGTTTATATGATTTTTTGTTTGTTATACCAGATACTAAATACTTATAAGAGGGTCGTAATGGGAGTACCTTCATGACGAATCACGGTAAAAAGCTTGCCAAATGACGTTAACGGTAATTTTTGGTGCATGACGATAAAATGTACACTTTCTTTAAGACGATAAAAAAATCGACTGATTTTGACGAATCACGTTAATTTTTTTCCAAAAATAACGGTAAAGATAACTATTTGAGACCTCTGACGAATCACGGTAAGGATATTTTGACGAATCACGGTAAAATTTTAACCAATTTGACGCTAACGGTAGCCGAAAATGACCGTTTGACGCCTGACGGTAAAGGGCATTCCTACCCTCTTATAATACATGTATTAAATATAAATATATCTGGCTCTACATTTATTAACAATGAATACCAAGAAAGTCAAAAGTATTTTGTAGAATGATGACAATGGAATCATGTATAAAAATGGAAGTAACGTTAGGAATGGTATATATATTTTTTAAAGATTGTTTGTAGTAGTTTACTGTCACACCTTTCCATGCAACAAAACATTGACCGTTGACCGGTTGGATAATCTTATAGATTCGATTGTTTTTTTCTTAAAACTAACGTGATATAAATTGCTTGAAAGTAACTTTCAATTAAGATAATTTAAGCCCACAAGAAGCCAGTACTGCCACAATAGGAATTCAAATTGTAGAATCAGCAATACGAACAGCTGCACTGGACACGCCAAAGGAAGCAGGTAGAACCATCACCAGACAAAGAGTCAAACCATCTAGGGAGCAGTCTACGCAATACCAAAAAGATATCCGAGGCGTATATGATATAACGCCGACAAATTATAAGAAAAAAAGTAGATTAACGAAAGTATCAATTTAGTAGACAGTCCGTATATACCAAACAGCAAATGTATAGAAATACGTTACAAAGCGGGTATAACAAGTACTCTGAAGCCTTTGAGATTGATGATCTACGATTCACCCATAGATTTCCTTCTCATATAGACCCCATTGATTGGAGATCGTCCACCTGCTCCAAATTTAGAAACGTTTAATTAGTAGCAACACAGAACAAAGATGAAGGCTAGACGAAATTTAGGAATATCAGGCAGTCGCACATTAAAAAACCAAAAACCCCATTGCATTAAGATCGAACCATTTCTGAGCTGACCTGTATCATAGAGTATGGTTCGTAATCCTCAATATTTATGTGAACAGTATGGGTGTTGGGTAAAAGCAATGTTGGCCCTTATTTTTCTCTGAAGTTTATACTTATATTTTGAGATTTCCAAATGCTGAAAACAGAATTTCAAGACAAAAAAGGAAAGAAACAAGAAACAAAAAAGGAAAGATTCAGTCCGTTGGACTTATATAAGATGTAGTTATCCCTCCAAAAAACCAGAAGATATGATTTAACTTTTCAGTATACTTTCGTCTATTTTACGTATTGCTATAAAGACGTTAATTTAAAAAGAAAGATTTCAAGGAGAATTCTCTAACGTGTTGGTTTTATAGAAAATGCATGAATAATTATATTTTTCTATGAATCCAATTCGTGTAAGGGAAATCAAAATCAAAGCTCCACAACACCCTGCTTCTGCATTACATCGGAAAATATTAAGATTTTATAGACTTTTCAAAACACTTGAGATATTCATCTCCTACTGACCAACACCACTAACTAGCCATATCAACAATATTATTTAACAAGTTATCAGTCATGCGCAACTTGCCAACATATTCAATAAGGCGAATGTGGGCAGTATAAGGAAGAAGAAAGAATGTAAACTTTATAGATAAATGAATATGTACTCCTCTGATGAGTCAAGATCTTTCCAACTGATTTTTAGTTTGTTCTTGTGTTTTGTTAATAAACCACTGAGAGTCTACTGATGCGCCAATAATATAATAATAAATAATATAATAATGATATCAATGAAAAGCGTTTTGTATCATTTTATGTAGATATTTGACGTGTTAAAGAAATGTAAAAAAAAAAAAAATTAAGCAGTATGGTAACCAAGTGTTCAACAAATCAGAAGTACAACAATTACCAGAGCTCTAAATAGCTTAGTGTTTGCAACATCACCAATTACCAATTAGAAAGTTTTTGTGTAGTACGCCATCTATATTTTTTTTTAAAGAAATGGCCTAGTGATTTATTTGGATATTCAGTTGTTAGAAAGAAGAAAAAAAAAAAGAAATCTATTGAAGTATGATGATAGAAAATACTCCTTAGGAAGGAAGTAAATAATATAGACTTAGAATGAGAAGAAAAATCAACACAATAAGACTTTAGATTTTTCTGTGAAAGTAATAAATTATCTAAAAAAAATACATACACGCACACTTCACTCCTGTGAGATTTGTTATTTGCTAATATATACTTCAAACTGCTGTTTTTTAAGTAATAAGAATTTATGAAATACATTCGGTCAATCTATTACAACTTCACCCAGGCATCAGAATTGTTATTTTTAATAAAAATCAATGTATTGATTATAGATATTTGATGATTCATGACAATTTTAAAACATTTTCACTGATTTTACGAACAGTCTATCCAAAACTACATCTATTTTAAAATTTCACTCATTAGTATATCAGAAAATAAAAGATATAAAATTATGTATTATTTTTTTAATATTTTTTGTTTAAGTTTAGTATGCAATATCTATTGAGAATCTGAGATATGACTCATTTACTATAAACTTCATTTTAAAAAATGAAGAGCTGAACTTTCGAGAAATGCACCATCAATCATAAAATACACAGCTTATCTGAGAAAAAAAGAAAAGGAGTAAATGTGTTTGATTCAAGACTCTCAATATTTGCAAAAAGAATAACCAGTATAATAACGAAGAAACAGTGCTTTAAGTACTGTTCTGGGTCGTAGCAGTTATTTTGGGACTTTAGTGATGATATAAAGTATGCACACAGATGGGAATCCAGGTGGACCAAAGTAATTCAGGCCCTTATTACCGAATTTGTTTGTTCTATTGGTAAATTTATTCCGATATTTGACTGCCCCATCTTTAAGGCACTTTTTTTAAGTGCTCTCCCCTTTTGAAATCATTCATCCACTACCGACTGACCTAACAATAAGACCGACCTAACAACATGACCAAGATATACCTTAGCGTCTACATATGGTAGCATAGAAATTTGAGCAGACATTTTATGAGACTTTTTACTTTTTGTTCAATGTACTTTTTCATTCATATAAACTGGTTAAATGGTCCTACAAAATATGTCATTATTTTTTTATGTCATATACTAGAGTGAAAGGACATGAGTTGCTTATAAAGTTGGTTACATCAACGTCTGTTGGTCTCTGACAGAAAGTTTTGTCTTGGCAGTCATACAACATCTCCTTATATGGTGTGTGTGTTCGCATGAAACAAAAATTTTCATTAAATATTGCAAAATAACCAATATAACAAAATGTTTTATTAGGAACATTTTCAAAATCTTTTATTTTTTATTGAACAATGCAAAGACAAAATATTGATAAGTTGTTTCAGTAAATATATTTCTATTTCTATACATTACTGCTAGATATATACTTCTCTAAAATAATGATGCATTTTTTTTACATGTGCTGAACATTTTTATATGCAATAATCAAGCTTTACGCAAAAAAAAGTTTCTGTCCAACAAAATTTATTTGGAAGAATTCCCTCAGAAATGTGAGGGAGAAAATCATTCACCATACACGGATTAGTTGTTTATCGGAAAGTTCAATGCGAGAACAGCAAATGTCAAATGTTGTAAAAAATGTCTACCAAACTTTATTTCTTCTTCAAAAAATTTTAAAGTTTAATTTCCACGAAAATTGTAAAACAAAACAAAACACTCAAAACTGTGATATTTGGTACCGCCCACAAATTTATGTCTTATTTGAATACCATTTATCAAGATTGGATTGTTTGCATAAGAATGAACTGTTTGCCAACCGAAAACTTGGGAAGGATCATTTTACTTATCACTGCAATGTTTGTCACAATTGAACGACCCTTAACCTTTTAAAAATTACTCTTACTTAAAAATTAGTTAGAACTATCAGACGACAAGACCTCCGGAAGCCCCGCCTACTAGTAGCATAGAGGTGAAACCAGAAGTTTTATCTAACGGGATATCATGTTATAATTTGACCATATAAGTAGCCAATTTAAATTGATACACAACTTTTAAACTGTCGATTAGGTTAGTTATATCATAAGTATTACCGCAAAATTATGGATATAATATTTCCAACGTACACAAATTGACAAAATAAGGAACAAACAAAGTAATTTAGTATAGGAGGACTTCGCAAACAGTCTTTGATTGTATTGCTAATTACCATACAAGTAATAAGTGCATAGAGGTGATAATAACAGTTGACAATGTTACATCAATTTGGACCACATACCGTCACAGCGGATTTAGCGTCAATGTATCCATCATCATCGTCATCAAGTTCTGGACATTCATCATTTCTTATAGACGATATATTAGGAAATTCAGCAGCTGGACTTCCAAAACCTACACCAATCCATCCAGCAGCGCTGCCGCCATCGCAACTTACAGTATCAAGTGCCATGTGCAAACCAATGTATGATCCTTCCAGTTACTTGTCGCCCGGTTTCACATATACTAATGCTCTAATGAGCCATATGTACTCTGTGCCATACATGAGGGCAGACTATCCATTCATGGCAGACAGACATGCTTTAGCCGCAAGAGGTAAGCTTTCACATATACAAAATGAACTCATTTTTGTTTTGTTTTTGCGATATTCATAGCGGCAAAGTTTGTTTTCATATTTTTTAGAATAATGAGATCCCAACTATGGAAGACACGTGGGATTCGACCAATTTAAGTGTATAGCATTCTTTGTTATTGCGAATAAGTAAAATAACTGTTAACACATTTTCTTCCTAAAAGTTCTTTCTAATGAGTATAAATTGATAGCAATTTTGACAGATAATATTCTTTAATATATTCCAACTGCTACCTCAAATATGCCACATTGATTGCAATTTGTCTATGCCATTTTTGGTTATCAAATGTATTCGTTTTCTAAAGAAAGAGTATTTTTAATGTTTTTTTAAGGTTAGTTATTGCAAAATTACATGCTGCTTAGTCGGACTTCGTTGTACACAGGAAAAAGCGAAAGTAATTTTCCATGATGTTTATGAGAAATAAAATGAAACTTTATGCAATAACATTAACGGTACTAATTCTTCTGCACCAGAATGGCATTTTAAACAAATAAATGTCTCTTCGGTGAAAAAAAGGAAGAGCTTATTTCAAACCTAAAACATATTCATACATTTATATGATATTCTTTGTGTTAAATTTGATGCTTTATAATATTAAAGCAAAAAATTAACATTGACTATCCATACTGCACAATTTTTCACAACGTAGTCTCAACTGTCGAAGAATTTCATTTAGACTGTATTGAGTATATAGAACAAAATAATTGCTATATTTGAAAATTGTGATATCCGATATATATGAAATAATAAAAGCAAAACATTTTTTTCTATCCATACACGTCGAACGATAGTTCGTGGTTATACATAGAACTAATATTACGCGTTTTACTGATAATCTGGATCAATATATATTTAAAAAATGTATTTGTTAAAAATAGACAGTTTTAATAATTTATGCAAATCTAATGAATAGTATAAAGCTTATGATTATTGTTTTTTACAGAAAAACCCATGAAAATATTATTCAAAATGTGCCAAAAGACTAATACATTTTCTTAGCCATTTTTAACTTGCATGAATACCACACACATATATCTAGTTGGATAGTTCATTGTTTTTGCCATGGACATTAAACAAATTAAAACGAATCTTTTTAGGAAGAAATTTAACGGTAATGAAAATCCCGTACGGTTTAATGTAAATTTGAATAAAAAATCCCACAATAAAATAAATTAAAAAATATTGCTTCACGTCACATATACACATAAAAGTTATGTAAAATTTCAAAATCTCACAAATTATATGTGGTCACATTTTTTTTTATAAATTCTGAGATGTTACATGTAGTGCAAATCTATTTATAAAAATTTGATTATTTAGATTTGTCGGAAAATTAGCAATCACAAATATTATTTAAAATATGTCAAAAGAGGTTAAATACTACAAAATTTTTCAGATAAGTAAACAAGATAGAAAGACACCTAAATTAATTTGATGCACCGCAAGCGAATTTCGTACATGTTTCTCGCCTATGGTGCGCGAGGTAACAAATGGAAATCATAAGTAAAGATCAGAAAACAAAATCCTTCTATGTACATTCGTACATGAATAAATACATGTAAAATAAAGTGAGACAAATGGAATTTTGTCCTTTGAACAGTAATTTTTTTAAACTCTAAAGCCGATAATCGTTAGCGCAAAAATGCGTCATCATGCCTCTAACTTTTTTTGCGCCTTTAGTTTTCTAAATACCTTGAATCATTAGCGCCAAAAATTAAGTCTAAGAATTCGTTTAAACTTATTTTTATATAACCAATAACGCAAATAAAGCATTAAACTATTTACGGTCAGATGACATATTCAGATTAAAAACTTAATGTATAGCTAACAAACAAAAAGGTTTTAGTCATCTTTTTAAATTTCTGGAATTTCAATTTTAACGACAAATATTTCCCTTTTCTCCCAATAATGTCTGCTTCTTCGGTTTCACTACAAAATGTTTAATGTAGGTAGTGTATTGCAAGCAGTTGTAAGCAATACTTTAGGCAGCACTTGAATGTACCACCAGCATAAAAAACGTAGAAGAGGTCTAATAAAAACAGTAATGTTAGTTGAATTTTTAAAAGAAAATAAGTTTTCGATCTTCTCAAGCATGGATACTTTATCGTGTACTTCAGTTTCCTCTTGTCTGTTTCGTCATCTTTGTCTTGATAAACTGATGTTGGGTCGTAGCGTCTCTGTAAATTGGAAAATTTTAAGTGTATAAATTTAATCTAACACTACGGCCATTTATATGGTTTGATAAAGATAGGCAAAAGATACTAAAGGGATATTCATAAGTCGAAAACAAATTGTCAATGCCATGGCAAAAAAACGAAAAACGACAAACAACAGCACACAAAACACAACATAGAAAACTAAAGACTGAGCAACATTAACCCCAACAAAAAACCGGGGCTTATTGTATGTACTCCGGAAGGGTAAGCAGATCCTGCTCCACATGTGGCACCAATCGTTTTGCTTCAACTGACCCTGGCGATCAGGAATAAACTCATTATTAACCTCTTGCATTTTAAGTATAGGTACATACCTTATATACAGTTTGTCTTTCGGTTTTTTTTTCGCTTAAAGAGAATCATATCTTTTTTTAGTGTAAAATTCCTCTTTTGAAAATTTAAATAATTTCAAAAACTGAGTAAAAAGAAACCATGGTGACATTTACTTATTCAGAATTATGTTGATTTTAACGAAAACGTAGTATTAGAATAACTTTTCTGAGAAATTTAACAACATTTTGCGGAACAAAATGTGCGATAATCGCAAAAACCTATTGTCTTGAATCGGTGGCACATGAAAGTACAGAAATGACAATATCCACTCTGGACAATGGAGTTCAAACCCCTATCCTCTTGTCTAGATATACTTGAGATTTCCTGTCTTCAATGAACGGCAATTAAGACAATAACATTATTAAGTATTTTCATAGTGTTTCATCCGTCTGATTTTATCTGATAGAATTCAATGAAATCTTCGTTTCGTCCATAAATTTCTAATTATTAACAAAAGAGGGAAGTAAATACAACTTTATCCGGAACTTTGTTTTTAATTTCGTAACTCTTCGGAAGTCACACCCGATATTCTGTGAAGGCTACTTCAAACTTATATTCGAAATCAGCAAAATTATAGAATTATTTGTCTTGGTGAGAGACAACCAGAGACAACTATCATGACAATAAGGTTTATTATCCTTGAAATGTGTAGTTTATAAAACATAAGTGGCGGAAGGTTGTGGGCTAGGAGAACAATTGCTATTATTTTTCCCTGTCCAGTCAGAACTGTGGAACCGATAAACGAGTTCATTTTAATAATGGATTTTGAAATAGACTATCTTTACAGAATAGTCTTGAATTAAAAACAATAAGTTAAAATCCTGATTTCCATGGCATCAGAAAATAATTTGTTATTCAGGAATTTATTTACTTTGTTGAAATTGATTTTCAAAACGATATAACAAGTGTAAGGGGTAAAGAAAGAATTATATTCGTGTTATTTTATACCATTTGAAAATAAGCCTGCTTCCAGTATAAATGTATATAAAGTTTTAAGAAATTTATTCCTCCTCCCAAACATCAATATTGATAAAAAATTACCAGCGTATTGATTTTTGATAATTTGTATACGTTACAAAAATATCTAAAATTTGTTCATGATTTAATTATTTTTTGGTGATGTTGTACCCTTTTAGACTTGTTATATATATCTAAAATTTGTTCATGATTTAATTATTTTTTGGTGATATATATATAACAAGTCTAAAAGGGTACAACATCACCAAAAAATAATTAAATCATGAACAAATTTTAAATATTTTGGATAACTAATATCCTTCATCAGTAAGATGTAAAATGAATCTTATCTTGACATGTGGTAGTCAAACTGAAATAAAAATCTTGAATACTATACAAATTATCAATAATAAATACGCTGGTAATTTTTTTTTAATATTGATATTTGGGAGTAGAAATAAATTTCTTAAAACTGTAAGAGTCCAAAACGGAAGCCTTGGTTACTGGAAACAAGTAATGGTAGGGAAAATGAGTGACACATTCATGTTTTTTCATTTATGCCCTCTGGGGAAACTGTCCTAAGCTTTCTTATCCAAAACCTTTCCCGAGCAAGTCTGTCGGCCCTTGACCAACCCTCGTTGTGGTCTATGATAGTGATGGTAAGGTTTTTGAGATCATCTTAGGCGTGCCCAGGTTTTGTTCATGATTTTATTATTTTTTGGTGATGTTGTACCCTTTTAGACTTGTTATATATTATATTTTGTAGTGTACTGTATCATAATTTTATGATCCATCGCCCCGTAAGATTTATCGTTGGCTATTTTTATATATATATAAAGTTTTTTTTCTATGGTTATTAGTAAAAATTAATACAATACTATTTTGATTACATGCACATGATCACAGAAAAAATGAATACATTAATTATTTCATTTTATAAATGATTACATAAATGATTTACTTTCATTGCAATGATTATTTATTAATTCATAACCATTTAAAAAACTAAATAAATCTGCTCTTGAAACTAGTCTGGTAGTTTGGGATCAAAACATGATAAAACCTTAAAATATATACGATGTCCGAGTTTAGAAAAGAAGAGAATGAATTTCCAAACAAAAGTAAAGAGATGTCGTATGATAACTCGTGATACAAGTTTTCACCAGAGGTCAAAGGGCATGGATGTAAATAACTATAGGTCACCATACTGCCTTCAACAATGAACCAAACCATTACCGCGTAGTACATATAAGGTATAAAAGACCCTACAGAAGACTGTTTATTCTGAGGTTAAAACTATCACAGCGCAATTTCATTTAACATAAAAGACTTATGAAACATTACGGACAAAAAAGAGAAACAAAACAAATATAAAAGAAAGAGAGACAAAGAAATTTTTTTAATAAACTTTCATATATCTGTACAATTATGTACCTTCTCAAAGGTACTGTCAAGAATATTCACGGTATGACATAGGTTACATTTTTTAAAAATACATATATTTATACAGATCTAAGAACGAAACTATAAACAAAAATTACTAATTTTAGACTTCATTACATTTTAGTATTAGTACATGTGACTAAATTTCATTATCATATGTTTCGCAAAGGAAACTACAATCAAACAATCAAAGATAAAACATGATATGCAAATATACACTTATGAGTAATATAAAATGAATGCTGTTGTGGATTAAAAATTAAAAGGAAAATAATCATCAAACAAGATTTTTTCCTAATGAATTAGAATATCAAATGACCCTAACATTACTGCATTCCACTAGTGCCTGTGGTGGGTACATGTATCGCGTTAAAATCTCGCAGTAGGCCGACTTGAGCAAACATTCTCTCTTTAATGATAGTCATATTAAAGGGTCTTTATAGTTTTTATAATTTCACCAGTATTTAGAAATAAGTGATATTAATATCTAGTGTCTATTTGAATTGGAGGAAATGTCTTAACTTAAAGATAGTTGATGGACGTTGTAATATGAATACTTAATCAAATATGAAAAGGTATAACTAGTTAATCACATCAAATGATTTCTGTCTTTACTTATTGGATTATGTAGATATACAATATAATAGTCAATTGCTATTCAACTGTTTCGTTTTACTTAAAATATTAGCTGTGAATAGAACACAAACTTAAACCATATATCATCTTCTGATTATTCGCAAAGTAAATGCCAAAGCGAAAGTTGCAAACACTCTCAGACAAATAAAGGATGTGAGTCATGACAGTTCATGTAACAGTCTCGGAAATAACTCAATTTTTGTTGTTTTTTCTCCTATTCGTGTTGCCCAATTTTTAATTTTCTGTGGACTCTTTCTTGTCTTTCTTCAACGTATGGTCTGTGATTCCGCATTTCTTTTTTAATCAACATTAGTAAATCAATATAAATTAAATTGCTGTTTAATGTTCAAACGTAAATGTAAAAAAAAAGAACAATTACTGTATATATATTTAAAAAAAAAAACCTACTGTAATGGACAGCAACATATTTTTAGTTTTTAATTTTAAGAGACACCCTTAACTTGATGATCATCAATAGCGATAGTTCTTTCTATGATAACATAAACGATTGATCATTTTCATCATTAAGTCGAGCCGAGCAGACAAGGCCCTATTTTTGCTATATATTTAAAATATTTATTGTAAGCACCTTAAGTTAATAGTGACCACTTTCAGTAAAATTATAAGCACATCAGAAATCCATTTGGAACGCCAACAAAATGCGCTGTGAAAATTGCCACTTGAAATACTTTCCACCATTATCTAAGTATGACGAATCCGTTCATAATTCCAATAGGGTTCCGAAATTTTTTTTCGCCGAGAATATTTAGCATAACTTTGGAGTTATTTCACTTTTAAAATCACACGATTTCATCGTAGGTAATTTCTATATAACCCGGGTCAAGTATTAACAGAGACATCTTAAAGGTGAAGTACCTGCGGCTTTATCAAGAATTGTCAAAGGTTCCTGTCCCGATAAAATATTTTAACAAACTTGAAGGAAACTAGCAATCTATTAGACACGCGTTTCCTATCGTTCGATGGGTGTCGTGTGTCTTAGGAATAAACAACATTATTGTTCAACAGCGATATGCTGCGGTTTTTCGTAGACCGGAAGTGATTACAATACAAATTGTTTTAATACCGGAACAACCTTTCCAATATAAAAGTAATCGGAAAAGGTTAATTTCTTATCTTGAGGATAATTAGATAAGTTTGTCGCCTGTTATACAGATGCATGTCAATGATACGACATGACAAACAATAAATTTCAATTGTTTCTAATTGTGTCTGGCACCATGGACAAGTTACACCTCCAAGATGCTACAAAAATGTAGTCGACCAAGTAGACTTCTAAAGTACTCACTTTTGGCTACTGTTTTTACAGAAAATAATTATATAATACTAGTAAAGTGTGTATTACAAATTACAAGTCTATTCAATAAATATATGTAAACATTTGAAGTCCGCCTTAAAGAGCTTGCTACGAATCATACTCCTAATAAAGATTTATCTATGCATAAACAATAAAATAAGTAAAATAAAAAAATTGAACTTTAGCATATGTCAGTGATAAATATCAATCTTAATATTTAAAAGATATTTAATCTTAAAAGAAGTGTTTTATTCGATTTTTAGAGAACAAATATGTGTTATCAAGCATCATTTTAATTTTTATGTAAGGACCTAGACGAAATGTCAAAAAGTACTCTTGAAGACGTAGAAAGAAGCAATGAAAAAGTCTTAAATAAAACATGAAGTAGAATATGAAAATAAAATTTTGTCCTTTATTTTTATGAGTTTTATTTATTTTTTTGTAAAAGACCCACTTCAGTATCATTCTTGCTATAGATCATACCTTAATGATCTGGTGCTAGACGAGAGTATTTTTTTCTTAAGGCACCGTTTTCATCTAAATATTTAAAAAAATATTTTGATACTTTGAAAAGAGTGCAAAAAAGAAAAAAAAAACAGAAACACGTTATAGTGCAGCGTTCAGCACATACGGTAAGAGTTATAATTTTTCTTTTAGTAGGTGTTTATAACATTTATATGTGACCCATATGGGTTTTTGGAATCCTCGAATTTTCACAAATACACAAGAGAGAAACCATTTGAATTGAGCAGGATGTGAGTTTGCGATAGGAAATCAAGTACAATAAATTCGGAGGAAAAAATTAAAAGAGCAAGCAAAAATCGAGATTAATTAATCACATATATTTCTAATATTTAAATGTATGAAATTGCTTCGGTTAACAATTTTCAAAGATTAAACCATTAAAAAAATGTTGAATAACAAACAATTATAAGCGATACTGTGCTCAACCTTTTTTTTTTGTTCAGCAATAGAATGATACTGCTACTGTCCTGGTCAAAATCTAGAATGATATATTCATATCGCATTCTGAAATGTGATCTGTACTTGTTCAAGATATTACAAACGTATTTTGCAATGAAGAAAAACCCAATGAACTTTATTTACACTTTTTGTGTTGGTGGTATGCAGCCTCTTATGTTACAAAAAGATATCAAACATAAGTGCTGGTAAGAAATGACTAATCCCTCGTTATCTGGAACATAATATAAGCTGGTGGCTGAGTAACTACTTTTGGGATTAATATGCTAAAACAACATCCTTATTGTTAACTTGTTTTAATCACAATACGGCAATTCAAATATAAAATTTAAATTACTATAAAAATTTCCAGTAAATTTACTTCCTTTTCTTTAAGAGATTATTTTTTTTAATGTGACATTACCGGTTAAAATTGTGTTATTTTGATGCAAAATCTGCTTATGTTGCGGTCTACGTCCTTTAGTACTGAATGTACCAACTTTAAAATGGGCACTTGACGGGATTAAAATATTTTATAATACCAATTTAATTCACACACCTAGTAACATGTATCTTGCATTTTACTGTTCTCGACTTTTATTTTCAGATATGTAGAATTTTGCACGAATACCCCTTTAAAAGGATCAATAATATTTTATAACGTGTTGTAGTATCCTAATCTACAAGTCTTCAAGCTATTATATCATTAAATAAATTACAACTCATATGTTTATTTATATTCTACTGCAGCATAAAGTGTGAATCGTCGTTTCCACCTCAGAGGCTTGTCAAGTACTTTTATTATATTTTAATTTTTCTGCAATATAATCCAGTTTCTAGGTATAAGTTCATTTACAATGTTTAATTCACAAATGATTTTTTAACACAATAAAACGATTCTAATAGTACTATATAATATAGTTGTTGATTTAAGACATTTTTGAACGTTTTGACGAATGCAAGATATTTCAATATGCCTTCATAGCTAAAATACATGATTAAAAAATGAATATCTGTTAAGTATATGTTACTCTGTTTTTCAGTGGGACACAGACCATTCTTTTGGCCACCATTTTTACAAAGACCAATGCATAAAAGAAAAGGAGGTCAAGTTCGATTCTCAAACGACCAAACGTTAGAACTGGAGAAAAAGTTCGAATCACAGAAGTATTTATCTCCTCCCGAAAGAAAACGTCTAGCCAAAATTCTCCAGCTCACAGAACGACAGGTAAAAATCATTCATTAAGTAAATGAATTAAAATATCAACTTTATATACTAAAGTCATAAACCGTGTCTGAATTAGACCAGTATTTCCCAAAACCTTGTAGTATAAGTAAGAAGCTGCCTCCAAATCGAAAAAGCTCTTTACAAATGTATAGTTTTTGAATGACGTTCGTGTATTCATTTAGATCGTTTTAAAGCAATGTTGTAGAGAAAAAATAAACACATAAAATTTGCTCATTTAATTTATTCATCAAATTAGATTTCATACATTTTTTACTGTTTATTTAAAGATTATACAAATATTCATCTTATTTTACAGGTGAAGACATGGTTTCAAAACCGAAGGGCAAAATGGCGCAGATTGAAGCAGGTAGGTTGGGATGTTAATATCAAACAAACTCTTACTTTTCCTATCATAGTTCTATTTTGAAAAGATTAAGACAATTTTGTATTTCTTTTTCATGTCAAATATACGATTTAATTAAAGAGTAGAGTTCGTATACTTTTAATTCATCTAGCCCCAAAATACCAGTGTGAGATATCATGATCACTTTGCATCTGGCGTCCGTCCGTCGTTGTCCGTCTGTGAATTATTTAAAAAATATTTTACTTGGAAACCCCTTGACCTATTAAAGACAAAACCTGGTTACACCGTCATTCTTATTAAGACTTTTGTCTGATATTCAATTATGATGACGGTGACAATAAAGAATATAGCGATATACTTTTATAACTAAATCTGTGAATATTATTATTATAATTTTGGATTATAGTTTTGTAAATACTGAGATTACTTGTAAATTTCTCTGCAGTTGACTTTCTTTTGGCAAAGTGATTGTCCTTAACCTATTAATTTCATACAAATAATATGTTTTTCATCTCTTGGTAGCCAAATTTTGCTGCTATTGAATTCTTGCATTATGTACCATTTGAAGTACTTTTTGTTTTGAGAAGAAAGAAAGCAATTGTGGACATTACGTTAATAAACATGTTTTCATCAAATATAGCGAAAGGCCAGCTGAGATTACTGTTGGTTAAACAGTTGAAAAGTGTGGTTCTGTAAAGTTTCTCTAAATAGTTTTGCTCAGAAATAGTTTATAATAGATATACAATAGAGAGAAGTAGTATATGATATACTACAAATTACACTAGAAATTGTTATAAAAGATGAATAAACAAAATTAATGTTACAAAATTGTTTTTCTAGGAGTCTCCTACACACGAAAAAGGAGATGGTTCTCCAACAGATCTTCATGATGACGAAGATAAACAACATACTTCTGACGAAGAATTTGACGAAGATTCAGATATTGAAATAGACGTCGAAAAAGAAGAAAGTGCAAAATGATTTTCCTTAAAATCAAAATGGCAGCTTACAATCTGAATGGCGTCAAATGAAGTTGACAAACAGTATTTTATAAATTGACTACGAATTTCGCCATCTAAGTGCTAATTATGGTACTTTTAAACTGTGATATGTTATTATTTTTTTTATAACAATGTTCAATTGGTGCATATCTGTACATCGAAATATTTGATTAATGGCAATAAATCTTTCTCTGGACTGCTCTATATAGACATATTATGCAATATTGTTACTTTTGAATGTTGATAAAACACTTAAGATGCAATGCTTACTACCATGTTAAATGTTTGTCTTGAATGATTGCTGTAAATGTATGAGTTGTTTATTAAAGATATATTATATTAATATTAATTCCAAAGTGTTCACTGAATTAAAGACGATGATTTACACGGGAAAAACATGAAAATAATAAAGAGACAGAAAGCATCACAAAAACCCAAATACATGAAATTCATTATAAAGATTTTAAAATCCTATGCATTTTTATGCACCTGTCCTAAGTCAGGAGCCTATTGTTCAGTGGTTGTTGTTTGATGGTGTGGTTCATAAGTGTTTGTCGTCTTTTTTTTATAGATTAGACCGTTGGTTTTCCTGTTTGAATTGTTTTACACTAGTCATTTTGGGGCCCTTTATAGCTTGCTGCTCGGTGTGAGCCAAGGGTCGAAATCAATAGCAAATTTCGTCTAAATAAATCTTACATCTGCATTAAAATCGTCGGTAATGTGAAGGACCGTCCATTCGTACTGTCTGCAGAGTTATATCAAACTTGACCAAATATTTTTTTTTAGCAAAAGTAAATTGTAAAAAAAAGTTCGTTAAATGCACCATTTTGAAAAAGCCACACTAATTTCTTGAAAAATGTAAAATGTGTGTAAAGTCTATAAAATAGCTTTGTGCTTTTCATAAAAACGGCTGCCATTTTGAAAAACATTATACCATAACTAACAACTGCACATTAAGATAGTCGTAGAATAAAAGTATCCCACTTGACTTAGTTTTGGGACATAATAAAACTCAAATGATTGTACAGATAAAATATAAATGCATTGTTTACTTGGAAAAAAACCCAACAAAATTAAACATATTCAAAACTTCTGAATCACTTAAATCTTCCGCATCCAATGACAAATGGTCAAGTAGCGGGAAGTTCATATAAGTTTGTATGAATCGTGACTTCAAATATAAATAAATATCACGAAACCACTCTTCTTTTTTGGAGTAGTTTCAGTTAAAAAAAATGCAATGTTACATATGAATAGGAAATAGTAAATGGGAAATTTCCTAAAACCTATAAAATTGTATGCAAAATATAAAGAAAGCCTACCAGTTGAAGGTATATTCAGGCAACACTGATAGGAAACTAGTTGGAATTGTTTGGAACTCCAAAAAGTGTGAGACCCGGTCTTTCAATCATAAAACTTTCGAGCACGATTATCCTATACTCAAACTCAGAAATCAACCAATCAAATTATTGGATTTGGTGTTTCGAAAACAAATTCTGCACTCCGATAACTGAGTAAATTTTTACGACCGAGGGCCCTGGCTTTCATGTAACATCCGTCAAAGGTATGAGTCCAGGTGTGTCGACAGGGTAAGCATCTCCTGATTTTCATGTAACATCTGTCAACGGAATGAGTCCAGGTGTGTCGATAGGGTAAGCATCTCCTGGTTTTCATGTAACATCCGTCAAAGGAATTAGACCAGATGTGTTGACAGGGTAAGCATCTCCTGGTTTTGTGTTACATCCGTCAAAAGAATTAGACCAGATGTGTTGACAGGGTAAGCATCTCCTGGTTTTTATGTTACATCAACCAAAAAATGAGTCCAGGTGTGTCGATAGGGTAAGCATCTCCTGGTTTTCATGTAACATCCGTCAAAGGAATAAGACCAGATGTGTTGACAGGGTAAGCATCTCCTGGTTTTTATGTTACATCTACCAAAAAATGAGACCAGGTGAGTCGACATGGTAAAGACCTTCAATCTGGTTTCCATGTAATATCCGTCAAAGGAATGAATCTAGGTGTGTTGATATGGTAAGCATCTTTTGTTTTTTCATGTAACATCCGTTAAAAGAGTGAGAAGTGTGTCGATAGGGTAAGCATCTCCTGATTTTCATTTTCAATCTACAAAGGAACAAAACCAGGTAACCATCTCCTGGTTTTTATGTAACATCATTTAAAGGAATGAGACCAGATGTGTCGACAGGGTAAGCATCTCCTGGTTTTGTGTTACATCCGTCAAAGGAATTAGACCAGATGTGTTGACAGGGTAAGCATCTCCTGGTTTTCATGTAACATCTGTCAACGGAATGAGTCCAGGTGTGTCGATAGGGTAAGCATCTCCTGGTTTTCATGTAACATCCGTCAAAGGAATTAGACCAGATGTGTTGACAGGGTAAGCATCTCCTGGTTTTGTGTTACATCCTTCAAAGGAATTAGACCAGATGTGTTGACAGGGTAAGCATCTCCTGGTTTTTATGTTACATCTACCAAAAAATGAGACCAGGTGAGTCGACATGGTAAAGATCTTCTGGTTTCCATGTAACATCCGTCAAAGGAATGAATCTAGGTGTGTTGATATGGTAAGCATCTTTTGGTTTTCATGTAACATCCGTAAAAAGAGTGAGAAGTGTGTCGATAGGGTAAGCATCTCCTGATTTTCATTTAAAATCTACAAAGGAACAAAACCAGGTAACCATCTCCTGGTTTTTATGTAACATCATTTAAAGGAATGAGACCATATGTGTCGACAGGGTACGCTTCTCCTGGTTTTGATGTAACATCCGTCAAAGGAATGAGACCATTTGTATCGACAGGGTAAGCATGTCCTTGTTTTCATGTTCATCCTTCAAAGAATGATATCAGATGTGTCAACAGGGTAAGCACCTCCTGGCTTTCATGTTACATCCACCAAAGAGTGATACCAGGTGTGTCTACAGGGTAAGCATCTCCTTGGTTTTATGTAAAAACTGTCAACAGAATAAGACCAGGTTTTCATGTAAAATCCATTAAAGGAGTTGATCCGATGTGTCTACCGGGTAAGATTCTCCTGGTTTTCGTGTAAAATCCATTAAAGGAGTTGATCCGATGTGTCTACCGGGTAAGATTCTCCTGGTTTTCATGTAACATCCGTCAAAGGAATTAGACCAGATGTGTTGACAGAGTAAGCATCTCCTGGTTTTTATGTTACATTCGTATAAAAGGAATTGAACCAGGTATTTCGACAGGGGAAGCCTCTCCTGGAATTTATGTAATATCCATTTAAGGAGTGCGCAATAACAATAAGACAAATTTACATTAAAAATCCGTTCAGAAAACAAATATTTCGGACAACAAGACATAGGTATAAAAAATATATATTACCGTTTCAAAAAATAGTTGCAGATACATAGATTCTACCATTGCATCGATTGTGATACAAAATTTCTGCCCTCGAGAAGGTTCAAAGTTCAAATTTTAAAGGCGAGGCTTGCCGAGCGTTTTGATTTTTAAAAATGTTACTGTTTAGTGTGGAGAAATATCGCTTTGCACGAGATTCGTTTTCTCTAATGATTTTTAGACAAGTAGATATGACCAAGATGAATTTTGTTAAAGAAGGTACCAAATTAGCGTCCACCTTCTGAAACTAATTGAATGGAATGACACAAACTTAGCAGATACCCTCGTTTCTATTACTGTAAACTTGGTGCAGAAGATAGAAAGCTTATACAAATTATTGGGTTCATCGTTCAAATCTTATTGATAATTTTTTAAAACGTTTTAAAAGCATCTTTATACAAAATTGTTCTATTTAAACGATATCTAGAATAATAACAAATCGGAAAGCTGACAAAGTATACAACAACGTTGACGTGGTTTGATGTCGGTATAGTCCTTTTGAGTTTTATAGATCTTAAAAATCCGAATATTAAAAAACAGATTTAAAAAAAGGTTCTTTCTTTTCAGTTTTGTTTTTGATCTATATAGTATACGAACTTTAGCAATTAATTTCTGAAATTTTGCTCAAGTATAATTAAAAAGTTGTTCATTGGTCTAATATTAGAAGAAAAGGTCAAGCGGTAATAAAAGGCAATGGTGTGAATAGATTGAACCTGACAGCAACTAGTCAGTTGTTCTAGCAATATATATATATAACATTATTTGAATATATCCGTCCTGGTCAAATGTCTACCATTTGTGTTTCAAGAAGGAAACTATAAGTGACACTGGCATGGATGTTGTGATCATAAAATGTATAACTCCCTCTTTATATTAAGACAACCTGTGAAATAGGAAATGTACTATAGAACCCCTACTGATAACTTTTTTTCAGTTGAAGATCAACAATTAGGATGACAAGCCATGACAGATCGTATATCAATAAGAAAATAATGGGATATAAAATCATCTATCAAATATATTATAGAACTTGAACGGGCTATATCATATATTGTAATACTTAAAATTGAGATAACAAATTTAAATACGTTCATACCTACAGCATCTACACGAAAGATAAGATCCTAATGAACACGCATCAGCAACGGCTAATCTGAAAGCTGCTACAATTAAGGTTCCCATTTTGCACTTGCTCCTAAATTCCAAAAGAACTGGAATACATCATTTTATATTTGCTGTCGAAAATAGTTTCAAAACGCATGTTCTGGTACTTCTGACTTGAGTCTCTACAATTGTTTTGGGCTCCTTGTAGAATATTGTTAAAAAACTCGTGATAATGGAGGTATTAATTGTTTTTGGGGTTTGGGTGGTTTTTTGGAGGTCTTGGATCGATGCACCTTGGAGGATCCGCTTTTCTATGTTGGAAGTTGTGATTTCTCTGATCTGTTTGGTACACTATCATATAATCTTATTAAAGATATTTTCTCATATTTAATGAGATGTTCTTTCGATAGGTCTTGGTAAGTCTATGTCTTTTAGACGCGCGGGGAAGGGTGTGATTTGAACGATTGGGTTTTGTATGTTGATGTTTGTTCTTGTTTTGGAGGAGTAAACAAAGACTGGTATTCCGATAGGAACTGACTTTAGTCCTCTTGTTTCGGGCTAACTACTTTGTTGTTTTTGAATGCGGGTTTTGACAAAGCTTTAAAGGACTCATCAAACTATACTTAATGGAAAATTAAAAAAAATCTTAAAAGCCATAGAGAAAAAAATGAGAAAGATAAGATCGACAAAATAGGTGATGTGAATGAAATTGTCAATCGACATCTTTGAAGAGTCATCGCCACTAGATGACGATTTTTACCTCATTTAAAGGATTTTTGCAATTAGCTTGAAAACAGTATAAATAATCAAAAATACAAGATCTATTAGAAAATGAAGTGATGGAAATCGTCAATTGACTTCTTATTGGGA